CCAAAGCCACTTGGCTACACTGCTTTGGACCTGTGGCGACACAGGTAAGTCATCGAGGCAGGAATGCACTGCAGCACAGTCCACTCACAATTTGGCAGCTGCAAAGCATAGAGAAGAGACAAAGTACAACCCAATATCCCTATATCAAGAATCCAACACTGATTATTGAATTTCCTCTATGTTTTACCTCTTGAAGGGTCCATCACCTCCCCAAAAGGATGTCTTTACTGATCCAAACTACAGCAGTAAGTGTCTGTGGAGATATACATCCTATAGTTCTTAAGACTCCAAAGCACTTTATGGGTGAGACCAAGACCATCTTCCCTTAACAAAGCGGTTCTAAAATCCGAGTCATACTTTTAAAAATTGCCTGTAAGATAAATTTCCTCATGATAGTACCACAATTCTTCTGGAAAAATTAACTCATCTTTAATTTATAAAATTAGTAATAAGAAAGGTTTATAAAATGCAAATAATAAGATTTCTTAAGGTACAAACATGAGTGGGCCTACCTCAAACACTAAGAAATCAATGTACACAAAAATCAGTATGGCAAAATCACTTATTTGTTACCACTGTCAATAGAGTTTAGAACATAAAAAACCCAACTAAAAGTAAGACTATATACCAAAGAAAGGTTGAATAAAAGACCATTAGAACCGAAGAAAACAGTTTATTCTCAACTGTAAATAAGACTTATAGGAAGATTATGCATATTGTTACAGAATACATAATAATTTGAAAGCATACATCAGATTCCATGCCAAAAGTGTAGTAGAATATTACATCAGTAACAACATGTGCCTAATCCCAGCTTTCAGGAGACAGAGGCAGGTGAATCTCTGTGGGTTTGAAGCCAGCTTACTCTACAAATCGAGTTCCAGGACAGCCAGAGCCGTTATACAAAGAAACCCTGTCTGGGGAGTGGGGGGAAGGAGGGAAGAGAAAGAAAGGAAAGGAGGATGGGAGAAAGAGAGAAAACGGACATAGTTATATTACAGTACAATGGCAAAAACATATGTAGCAAAGTAATTAAAAACAACAAAAAGCGCCAAGCTGATGGCACAGGCCTGAAATCCCAGCACTTGGGAGGTGGAAGAAAGACTGAGAGTCCAGGATTATCCCTGGCTACACAGAGAGTTTGAGGTCACCCTGGGCTACATGAGACCCTGCCTTAAAAAAAAAACAAAAGTTATCAACAAAAAGCCCAAATCCACTACTACAAAGGAAAAAAAAAATCAAAAGTGCATGTTTATAGGTGTTCAGAGAAAAAATGGACAAGTATCCACTATTGAGAATATTAATAGTTTAATTTTTAATAAAAGTTTAGAAGAAAAACTTCTCCATTTCAACCAGCATAGAAAGCTACTTGAACAGGAGAGAAGCAGTAAATGTCAGCTTCGTAGGTCAGAACCATCACTGGCAAAGGTGTAAACCCAAGATCAAGGAATACAGTCACTGCTGCATAAAAACAAGACATTAAAACTACTTCCCAAAGGGCAAAATGTAGGAGATGGGCACATCTGATCCCGGGTTGAAGAGCACTGTTCCTGTTTGCTTTCTGCTGCCATGACAAACCATGACCAAAGCAACCTGGGGGAAGAAAGGGTTTATTTCAGCTTACAGGTTAAAAGTCCTTCATGGAGGGAAGTCAGGACAACAACCCTGAGGCAGGAACTGAAGCAGAACCACCAAGGAATGGGGAATGATGCTTACTGGCTTGCTTTCATGTCCTTGCTTGGCTTGATTTTTTTTTTTTTTTTGTGCAATCCAGGACCACCTGCCTAGGTACTGCCCACAGTAAGCTGGACCATTATATGTCAACTAATCAAAAAAATGCCCCACAGACTTGCCTACCAGCAATCATACTTAGTAGTTTTCTTAGAGTGTCATTTCTCCTTTCCATTTGACCCTTTCAAGATGACAAAACAAACAAAAACTATAAACTAACTAGCAGTCTCCAAAGTGCCACTGGTGAAGAGAAACTCTTTAAAGGAAACAGGACAATTAAGGCAAGACAGGAACAACCAGGGGTGGCTGTTACTTTAATCACAGCACTAGGGAGGCAGAAGCAGGTGGGTCTCTGAGGTCTTGATCTACATAGTGATTTCCAGGCCTGCCAAGGGCTAGTGAGAGCCTGTCTCAAAACACAACAAACAAAACATCCAGGAACAAATTAATGAAATATGAAATGTTCTTATAAATAATAGTTAAGGTGCTACTGGCAATTAATGTAGACCAGGGTGCGACAAGCAGAACTGCAGATTCCTTTCAATGTTCACTGTGCTGACCTTTTGTCAACTTAACACAAGCTGGAATCATTTGGGAAGAGGAAACCTCAACTGAGAAAATGCCTCCACCAATTGGCCTGTGGGTAACTCTGTGGGACATTTTTTTTGATTGAGGATGTGGGAAGGCCCGGCTCACTGTGGGTAGTGGCTTGGTCCAGGTCCTGGGTGTTATATGAAGGCAGGCTAAGCAAGCCATAGGAGCAAGCCATAAGCAGTACTCTTCCACAGCTCTTACTTAAGCTAATAGCTGCAGGTCACTGCCCTAATTTCCCCCAGTGAGAGACTGTAATATGAAACTATAGGACTGAGATAGGTACCCCCCCCCACAGTGGCTTTGGTCATGGTGTTTAATCACAGCAACGGAAACCCTAACACATTCACTGAGCACAGTTCTGCTATAAATGCAGTTAGCACTCTAGCAAATGCTTTTCAGGAACCTAGAAAAGCTTAACACTGTTCAGATTTACTCAGAATGTATCCCCTGGTAATAAATGGGGCAAGTTTTATGTACAATGATTAAAACTTAAATCTGACTTATGTACAGTGGTAAAGTGTGTGTGTGGGGGTAAAGAGTCAAATGTATAGCAGTGTAAAAACTGGCACTTTCATGAAGTTAAATACTGTATGAATACAATATTTTCAAACAACCTGTCTGAATTATTGATTAAACTAAATTAAAAATCTAAACTAAACTGCTGGGACTAGGGAAACTGGCTCAGTCAGTAAACTGCTTGCCACAGAAGTGCAAGAACCCATTTGGATCCTAGTACCTATGTAAAAATTAGGAGTTGTGATTGCAGTGCTGTAGAGAGATGGAGACAGGATGCTCACTGCTTTCTGGCCATCAGTCTAGCTGAACTGATGAGCTGAAGGTTCAGTGAGAGATCCTGTCTCAAAATAAAATAAGGTGGACAAGCAATTTTGTCCCTGTTTCAGCCTCGAGCCTCCACACACATGTACACATATAAACCTACACACACACATGAAATCACATCCACCCAAGCACACAATAAACTCATATATACACATGTACACACATACACAGGAACCTGCATACACACATACACACACATACATGTGAACCCACATAGACCTGTACACAAATTATAAAATGCCACTGGCCACAACTACCACCTACTTAATATTTCTCTGTGCAAATCAGTTTTAAACAACTACTCACAACCCTAACACATACAATTTTCTTTTAGATTTATCAGCGTTTTGCCTGCATGAATGAATGTACACCATGTGCATGTCTGGTGCCCACAGAAATCAGAAACCATCATATTATGAATACATAATACTTACGGATAGTTATGAACCACCATGTGGGAAGTGAACCCCAGTCCTCTGTAAGAAAAACCAGGGATCTTAAGTACTGAGTCATCTCTCAAGCCCTAAGATACAAACTCAACAGGCTCCATGGGTAAGAGGAAACACAAACTTTATAGATGTAAATTTACCCCCAAAGTCAGTGGACTTTAGTAGAGCTAAGGATACTTTGAGAAATGTAGAAATGTTCTGTAGCAATGTATGTTTTCTTCATGAGAACAATGTCTTTCAATTACAAGCCAGGAAAATTTTAATATGACCAATGTACAAACTACACTAGAAAGCAAGAAAAAAAAAATCCAAGTCTGCTTTATCTGCACAAAAACTAATTTATCTTTTTGGTCTCACTATGCAATCTAAACTGGCCTTAAATGCATAATCCTCCTGCTTCTCCACTACTTTCAACAGAATCTGCTTTTCATAATAAGATGCACTTGGAAATAGAGATAAATTCCATGCATATTATTTCTTAATATCTACACATGAAAAACTAAGTGGTTTGTCTTTGAAACTTGGATTGCAGCTTTTGAAACTATTTGCCAATGTCATTATATATGTTAAGTATGATGAACCCAATATTCACAGAGGTTATGGCTGGCATGTAAAAATCAAGGATAATTTTTAGCTTATGCTTTATTTTCCTATTCTTTTTGTAGGACAAATCTTATTTTTATATCAGAAAAGCTTGTAAATATTATTGAAAACTTACTGGGAAAAATGAAAATAGACATTAAAAATACTTTGTAATGATAGACGCTTGTATCCCCTTCATATGTTTGTTCAGTCTTTTAAAAATTATTTATGAACATGTTTTTTTCATAATGAAAATATTTTCAGCAAAAATATTTCTTCATAGTGAAAAATTTTCATAATGAAAACATCAGTCATTTCAAAATCACTTGTAATTTCCATCTTAAGAGGAGTTCTGGGTTTAATTAGTTATAGTAACATAGTATCAGCCAGCTACTTGTATGAACATATGTGTAGATTATCAACTAGAGAACACTGGAAAGCAAAAAAGGAGAGGTGTATGTGTAAGACTACAGGGTGATGCAGATGGAACAGTCAGCTAACCTGGTTAAGGAGCACTTGTTAATTACAGAATGTGAATGTCAAATGTACTCACAGAAGGCAGAAATGCTTTTTAGCAAAAGAAGGAAAAGTATATACAGAAAACAGGCTGTACAATATCACTTCACTATGTCCAAATCAGCATGAAGAAGTAATATATCAATTCTGGGTTACAAATAAACCACAGGAAAGCTATCCACAAGGTCAAAATGTAGAAGCGAAAATTTTAGTTTCAAAAATTAACTGAACAGCTTTCATTTGTAAAACTAAGAGTTTGAGGGGAAGAAAAAAGGCAATACAAGAAAATACCAGTTAAATAATTTTATTATATAAAGAAATCCTGTAACTTGATATGGAAAACAAAGCAATTCTAATAGGTATCACAAGGAAAAAGGACATGCACATTTGACCAAAGAGAAAATGAAGCTATTCAAAATACACAAGTATTCACTCTTGCAAAAAAAAAAAAAAAAGAAAGAAAAAAAGAAAAAAAGAGTTTGGGATGCCACTTCTTGCTTATTCAATATACAAAGTTAGTAGCAATGTTTACCTTAACTTCTAGAAGTATTTAAATATGTCTAAGTAATAAAAAAAAATGGAGTCATTAAAAAACATAGAAAGTATGAAAATTTCTGTCAATGTAGAAATCATAAAGAGCATTAAAATAAACCAACACTTGTATGGGCAGTAAGTAAAGTTCAGATGCCAGAAGCCAAATCCTTTCCTTGGTCTGAATTACCTTAAGGGACTGTCAAGGCATTACTCCTGATTTACACTCTGCCACTCTCCCAGGGCCAGTCATACATGCACACATATATGTATGCACATATGTTTATTTCCTTCAGGCGAACTAATTTTCCAGGAAAACACAATCAGTATCACTCATTACCAAGGACTAATATAATTCCATTTGTACTTTTAAGATTTTCCCATATAATTCACGGGCAGGAAGTATTCCCACAGTACTTAAGACTAAAAGTCTACTTTAGTTAGCACTGCCTTAAGAAACCAGCTGGCTTGTTAGGGGATCTGACACTGGTCCTGTCCTTGGGTCAAGGATAAAAAGGCATATTTCTGATTTAATGCAGAACAGGGTCTATCTGCTTGCTTAGATCAAGGCAGCCCACACTGCTCAGGATGTGATCAGCTACAGTGACACCAGAAACCACTCAATAAACATGTCAGAGTAGCAAAGGTGGGAGGCTGAACATAAAATCCTATAGCTCTGTTCAGAGTGTTTCCTTAGCTCTGTTCAGAGTGTTTCCCTATCTTTCTTGACTGCCAATTCTCACTGGAAAAAGAAGTTAATGAGAAGAAACAATTCTCTAAAACTTGCCTTTTACTAAATAATCTATATACATGTAACTACAGGTTACACAGAAAAACTAATTAGATTTTATTTAAGGAAAACAATCCCATTAAATATGACAAATCTAGTTGTCAATTTAACTTATTGTAGCCCTTAACTATCTAAATTTTGCTTAGCACGTTAGACACTAACTCTCTGGTATTGAATTTTCATTGAAATAAAAGGAGCTGCTTTGCGGAAGAAAACATTAGCTCATTTTCACTACCGATGAAGTTTCTATCAGTTCTAAAAGCTTATATGTATGTACACATGAATTTTTGTGTGAGCACATATTATGTCTTATGTATACACGTCAAAATTTTCTTTTCTCCAGTAAGATAACAAATCTTGACTTACTGTTACTTCTAGTTAATATTTGTACTACTACTTCTACCTAAGAAACTTCATATATTCTAAGAGTAATCACATAGCCTAGTTAACAAATTGTCAAAAACTATCCAAGAGGGAGGTAGCTGTACCTTGGCAATCTTTTATTATTTTAGTTTATAACAGGGGGACCTTCATTTTACTGTTTTAGTCAAATCAAAACTTTCAACTTTGTAGCATAATAGACAATTACACATTCACTATGATCACCTACAATTTGACATATGTAACACCACAAAAGATATCTAATTTTTCATATATCTTTCACTTGTTAAAACAGCTAAATATGTGTTAAAACACATTTTTTTCAGAATGTACTTGGTAGCCATTTAATAACATATTAAGCAAAACAAAAAACCCTAAGTTACCTTTTTGTCTATTAACTGTAGAGAGTAATAAGAGACAATTGAAGGGGAAGGGAGATCATCCATGAATACACTGAAAAGGTATTACACCTTGTATCTAAGAATGATCTGAAGGTGCTGAAAGAGGCGATTCTCTTGAAGGTGACCCAGGGTTTTCTTCAGGCGGAAAAACTGTGAGAGTACAAGCCCGAATGCCGCCAAGTGACTCTGGAAGATCAAAAACTTTATGCCACTCATCTTTTTCCGGGTCGTACTTCTGGACAATTTCTACCATGCAACGGTTATTCCAAGAATATCCACCAACAACATAGATTTTGTTTTCAAAAACAGCAACTCCAACATCACTCTGACCTCTCAGCATAGCAGCAATTGGAGTCCACTGGTCAAGAGTTGGTGAATAATATTCGCAGCTGAGAACATCATCATAATCACTTGTTCCTCTGAAGTGGTTGCCACCAATCACATACAGCTTGTCTCCAACTGTACACATGCAGTGCAGGCCTCGGACTGTAGTCATAGGAGCCTTCTGTGTCCATTTGTCTGTATCTGGGTCAAAACACATGAGCTCATTTTGGAAAGTGTCATGAGTAATTCCTCCTGAAATATACATTAGACCCCCATACACTGTTCCGGCATGACCATAGTGGGGTTCACTCATTTTCGCAACATAGCTCCATTCGTTCATTCTTGGGTTGTAACATTCTACTGTGGCCAGTTCACCAGCTGCACTGCGCCCACCAACTGCATACAAATGTCCTTTAAGGGCACTCAGGTGAAAGAATGTGCGCTTTTCATTTAATGATGCCACCTGCATCCATTTATTATACCGAGGGTCAAATCTGAAAACTGTATCAACAGCAGTTTTTCCTTTTGTATCATAATTACTCTGACCACCAACTACATAAAGGAAATTTCCAATAACAGCAATGCCATGCTGGTATCGAGGAGCATCCATGGGGGCTAAGGACTTCCACTCCTGTGCCCTTTCATCGTACATCCTCAATTCTTTACTGACCACTAGCTGCTGCCTCAGAACGCCTCCTAAGGTAACAAGGTGAGTGGAATCAGAGCGAATGGCAGTTCTGTCTGACTGCATCACTGGCTGCATATATGGCATCATTTGGTAATTGCTTGCTTCCAAAAGTAAATTCACACAGGTATTGTCTGTTCTCATGAAATCTACTGTCTGCACATAGTTGATGAGGTCCTGTGGTGTCATCAGTGGAAATCGAATATTCTTCATTAATTTTGCAGCATAGTCCATCCGAGGGTCTTCCAGCCTCAACCAGCGGCAGGCTGCCTTGAAAAGTTCAAGTTCGGAACAGTGCTTGAGACTATTGCTGGAAAGCACAAAGGCAAGCCGTTCAAAGGGGAGTTTTAGGAACTCCCCAGTACTCAGCAATGCAGGAAAGTTCTTCAGGATGAAATTATTTACATATTTATCCACTTCTATAAGATTGTAGGTGTTAGCAATCCGTCCGACCTCAACACAGTTATCTAAAGAGACGCCTGATATAAGAAATACTTTACAAAAGTCCAAAACTGGTAAGATTTGTAGAAAGCTGGCAGCTTCAAGGGTGTCCTGAAGATTGTCCATGTTAAGGGACAATTTTGCGGTATAAATAAAATCAATGATTTTCTTCAGGCCAACTTTGTTCACCCCATGAAGTTTAATGCACATTAAATCTTGTTCTTTCATTCCGCCTGTGAACATGGCCTTGAAATAATCGCTAGCAGACGCCATCATGGCTCTATGAACCGGGAAGATCTCATCGCCATCACCAGGTACCAGAGTCACGTCACAAAGCAGGCCCTCGAGTCTGAGCTGATCAAAGCCTTGCAACACCACCGAGCTGTGGGTATTGCTGGTAAAAAACCGCGTCGTTCCTGCCTTGCAGGGCTGCAGGTGGGCAGAGACGCCCATCTCGCCGCCGGTACCGAGAGACACCTTCATGTGAGAGCCCTGCGTTCGCAGCGAGCCACAGGCCGCAGACGTTACAAAGAGAACGCTCTGAGCAAACTCAGGGCCGCAGAACGAACCAAGGGCGATCAGTCGCCGCAGCCCCGCTCCGCTCCGCTCCGCGCACACCCACGCCCGCCCTGCGGCAGGATCACGCAACGCGGCCGGCGGACCTCAAATGTGACAGTAAAGCCGGTGAGTCATAACCTGAGGCAGTTCAGCGACCGCTTCACCGCGGCGGGCCCGCGCTGTCGTCCTCTGCA